CTCTACCTAGATTATCTTGAGATTTCATAAGGTTGTGCTCAAATGACAAAGAAGGATAGTGTGAACATGTTGATTGAACAATTATGGGTTATAGTGTTGGCTTCAGTTATCGTTGACATTATCTGAAGTGAGTCTTGACTAATCTTTCTACCTTAAAAGTTAATTTTTAGATGTGATTACATTGCAATTTAGGACACTCATAACAATACTCTTTCTATTTTATAGCTTTGTAACTACTTCTATAGCAATTCTTATTTGGGAAAAGGAAAAATGAAAACGTCTAGCATTAAAAGGTTAGGATGTTTAATTATAATCATATAATGAATTTAATAAAATTAAAATTTATATTATGTCTCATATATTTAATAATTGTGATTAAAAATCATGATATTTTCCTTTTTATCTTACTATTTAGTGATTTTAGTAATAATTGGCTCATGGTACTTAAATGTTCAAATTTGAAAAGGACACTTCTTCTATTATTAGGGTTATAGGTCTATCTTTCATTAGTCACTTGCGGCTTGTGTTTCTTTGCCAATGCGATCCTATAATAGATTAATTTGGTATATTATATTTGCTTATTAATAATAAATTTATGAAAAAACTATTTTGTAGGATAGATTGTATATTAAAAATAGTAAATTTATAAATTAAATTACAAGATTGTATATTAAAAATAGTAAATTTATAAATTAAATTACACTTTTAATATATAGTTTACCTTATAAAATAAAAATTTCATAAATCTATGTTAATTGATAAAAAAATACAGTAAAAGGGTAATCTTATAAATATATAAAATAAATAAGGTTCACGTTTTTCAAATCAGATTACACTTTATTGCGTAATCCAAGCACTAAAATTACTAAAATACAATAGATTTTCAATAAATTACTAAAATTTCATTGAAGCTATTTTAGTAAACAAAAGGAAACTATTATGCAATTTAGTTTGGACCAAATTACACAGATGAAACCACTAAATGAGAGATAAATCCTCTAATATTGGAATTATAACCCATTTAATAGTTTGTGTTTAACATGTTAATGTAATTTAGATTATAAGATAAGAAAGTTTTTAATATATAATAGGATACTCTGAGTTGAAAATTTATTTGTTTAGATTAATAAAGAAAATGAAAAAATATTTTATAAAGTGAATTGTATATTAATAAAATTATTTATTATATCATTTTATTAAAAACATTTTAATAAATTTATTAAGTAAATTACATTTTTAATATACAATCTACCTTATTAAAAAAACAGATGAATATATATATATATATATATATATAAAATGTTATATATCCGGAATTTAATTTCCAATAGACTTAAGCTGCATATTGATAATTGATATGCCTCGGAAAGAAGACGGGAAAGGAGAAAGACGAAGCAGTGACCAGTGAGACAGTCTCCATCTCCAGGTTACTTTCTTCATCTTCCTTTTCTTTTTGTGTTTTAGCTTCTTAGATTATCATCGATTTCTCTTCCTCCTCTTCTACTTTTTCGTCTTTGTATGGAATCAAGTACGGAAACAATCCCACGAAAATTTAACTTGAGTCGATAGGAAAAGTGTTTTCGATCTCAGTTTCGGAGAATTTCCTGCTTGGAGGAGATTTAATCTCCAATTTAGGGCTTTTGGGAATGTCAATTTGGGAATTTGTTGTTCTTTCGGGTGGATTATGTAACCTAGGTTTTCTGAATGTAGTTTGTTTCTTAAACTTTTATTATGGATGCTGGATACTGGGTATCGAGCATGGAAACGCGATACTGTGGATCACCTGCGGATTTTCCCTCTAGTTTAGCATCAAAAGTTCCAATTTTGAGGGGTTTGGATTGTTTCCTGCCCTAAAAATGGTGAAACTCTTTCTTATTTCATATTATTTGAAATTGATGGATGATGATATAATACTTTTCAAAGCTTGTTTGCCGTGGTTGCATTTAATGTTGGATTAATCTTCACTACCAATTTGCTCCTGTTTTCTAAAACTAATGGGTGTGTGAAATTTGATAAAGTATCAAAAGAGAAATTTCAGTTCTCAATGAATGCTTTGTGCTTATGATTCTGTATTTCCATTTAGCATCGTTCGGTAAATTCATTGAGCTAGTGATTTAACAGTGTAATATATAATTACTGGATGGTTTCTACTTTATTGGGTTAACTAGTCAAAACAAAAATATATAATTTAATAGAACGAATCAAGCATGTTGCTGCTAAGTTTTGTCTTTAACAGGGTGGTGCTTTTGAAGTGTTTAATTAACCAGGGACTTTGTGTTTAATAAATTTGGTTAAGATGTTTGGCTAAGTTGTTTATGAAGACTAAGAGATAAAGGTTTGCTGAATATATGTTTAGACATATCATGTGTGGTATGTTTTTAGTTAAGGGTGTTGATCTCATCCCTTCTCACTGCCTTATTATGTATCTGACCAGGATAAGGTTATAGGCTGTCTGGTTATGAAGAGATAAAATACCTTCCTGCTATAGGACATGTATTCTATTGCCACATTGCAGCCTTGAAAGACGCATATGGCAGGGTTGTTGCCTGGAGAATCCTCACATAATGCAACATCTGAGGATGGGCCATCATGGTATCTTTCAAGAAAAGAAATAGAAGAAAATTCTCCATCAAGATTAGATGGCATTGACTTGAAGAAAGAAACTTACTTCCGGAAGTCATACTGTACATTTTTGCAGGATCTGGGCATGCGACTAAAAGTGTAAGTTCCATTTTTTGAATTTGCATTTTTTTTTTTCAGTCAAGCACAAATACTAGAAATGTTTTATAACTCTAATATATGTTAGACATCTTTTAGTATCTTCTTTGATCATGATTGTCATCATTTATGTCTGTGAAATTAAAATAATCAATTCTATTCCTTACTTATTTCATGCGTGTCTGTCTTACCTGTTGATTCAGTTATATAGAGCTCTCAGTTGACCTCAACTTCCTTTATATTATGATATGTGGATCTTTGTTGATTTGTGTACAGAAACCTTGCATGAAAGATCTGCAAAGCAACTTCTTCTCTGTTAAAAGATATGAATAACTTTTAGTTTTGCTGTTAGGGCTGTGTTACATTTTTCTATTATTGTTGTGGGATGCCCAATTGGTTTTGCCCCATTAACACTTCATACATGTCTGTGCTTGTGCATTTCACATTTATGTCTGCCTGTGACTGGTGTGGGGGTAGGGGATGCTCTGGAATATTCTAAAAATTGGGGTCTTTTTCCATAATTGTTTGTCTGTAGGAGGTTGTCTCACTCTGATTCTCTGCATTTCCCATTTCTCAGTCTTGATGCTGTGCTACACTTTGTAGCACAGGAAGGGGTTCATGGTAGGTTTTGGTAGATGGAAGGAAACTTTGCTAGCTTATGGACACCTTTACTTTTGAAAAGTATGACTATCAGCGTGCTATGAAATTTCTGAGCAATGGTGAATCTAACTGTCACAATTAAAAGTCATGATCAAGATTTTTTATTGTAGTTTTTAAGCAAATGCTTAGCTTGTGATCTTAGGAAAACAAGTGTTATCTTGAGTTTTTTAACTTGTCCTTTAATTTTAGTATCTTGTTAAAATTTTGATATTTAATGGTACTTTTCTATTGAATTAAAAATTAAAAATCTGTGTTTCATGCAGTCTCACTTATGCAAACATATGATGACCTGCTACAATTGGTGAAACTTCTTTGGAAATCATTCAATCCCTAACAGATATAGAGCTACTCTAGATTAGTTTTGTTACCTGCTAAAAGTTATTTTTATGACCTGCTAAAAGTTATTTTTATGTCATTAAATTCAACCTGTGTTATTCCTTCTCGTGCTGGTAGCAATGTAATTTCAGCCTTCTCCATGCTTCAAGTCTTTGATTGTTTCTTTGTAAAGTGTTATGTTGAGGGAGTGGATGTTGTGGTTTAGTGAAGAACATCAGAACTGTTAGATTGATCACTGATTCTTCCACCGGATTATTGACAGATGCACATATGGTGGGTTTTCATGTTTTTGTTACCTTGGTGGATGCTAAGATATAGCTTTAGATATTTACCATTTAGATAAATTCATTGCCCATCGACTATTTCATTTTGAAGTCAATATATCTGAAATTGTTTGCAGACCACAGGTAACAATAGCCACAGCAATTATATTTTGTCATCGGTTCTTTATCCGTCAATCACATGCAAAGAATGATAGAAGGGTAAGCTCTTCTCTCTCCTCAGTTCAAAGTTTATATTGCTTTATTTGCTACCAATTTAATTGCTTACTCTTCTGTCCATTAGTGTCATAATTGTTGCTTTACTGTTAGGTAGTGTTGTGTGAATAAAATTTTTGGTGTCTGATGGAGCGGACTTTCAAGTAGGGCTAAATTGTGTTGTGAAGAAGAAAAAGATGTTCTTGGCTTGGGGTGGACATGCAAGATGCAATTTTGTTGTTTGAAAGATGTTTGGTATTATTGCTCCCTTAGAACAGAGTTGATTGTTTGTTAATTAGAAATCTTTAGGATGATTTTTTTTTCCTTTTTTTTTCAGGAAAATTAGAAATCTTTAGGATGCATGTTTGATGCAATAAAAATTTTCCAGTGCTTCATTAAATGCTTTTTTTTTTTTTCAAGTATTGAAAATTGGTAATTAAACTTGGTTGTTATTCTATTTTTCTGTGGGGGAAACTTTACTTCTTGTGATAAAAAAATAAAAAATAAACATTCCATTGTCTTTTCTGACCTTTAATCTATTTAAGCAATTAGTTTTCAATTCATGAGTTAAATGTTGATGCTCTTGCTTGATTGTTTGAATGGTATAAAACTTTTGAAAATAATGGAAAACAGCAGCAGCTGTGAGAAATGTTTGGCAAGTTGTCTAGCTGATGGAGGATTTTATTATGAGAAAGAAACTTAAGTAGGAAATAGTGAAAATAATATGGTTGACTTAAGTTATATCTATTCTTGTTCCTAATTCATTCGTTTGCTTCACAGACTATTGCAACTGTGTGTATGTTCCTTGCTGGGAAGGTTGAAGAGACTCCTCGACCACTAAAGGATGTTATTCTTGTATCTTATGAGATAATAAACAAAAAGGATCCTGCTGCAGCTCAGAAGATAAAACAGAAGGTCTACTTCCTTCACCAGCTTATTTGTTTTCTTCTTTCTGATGTCTACCTAGTTATCACCTTAACTACTTGGCCTCTCATTAACTCTCTTGGCATTGTTCTTGCTCAGTAGCTCTCACTTTCTTACTAAAAAATCTGTCACCTGTTCCTTGTTTCTCAAAAATATAAAGCCAACCCCATTAGTTCTGTTTTCTAGTGGTAAGTTATAAGCTAGCCATTAATTGCTGGATATATGGAACTCTTAACTTTTAGATAGCTGCTTTCTTGATATTTGTTGTGTGAAATATTTCTGTGTCAAAGATTCGTGACTGAAATGTATGATTTCAAGGGATCATGGTCTGTTCTCTTTCCTTTGTTAGGGTTATATTCATCTGCTCCTCTCAAATTTAAATTCTTGCCTGGAGTTTGCTTTTTCATATTTATAGTTATCGATAAAGTATCTCAGCTGCCTTTTTTTGCTTTTAATTTTTCTTGTTTGCATTCTTTTCGTTCTGGTAATCTGCTTATTAACCCATATCTATATTGCAGGAAGTATATGAGCAACAAAAAGAACTAATCTTACTTGGAGAGAGGGTTGTACTTGCCACCCTTGGTTTTGACCTCAACGTTCATCACCCATATAAACCTCTTGTTGAAGCAATAAAGAAATTCAAGGTTGCACAGAATGCCCTTGCTCAGGTCGCATGGAATTTTGTTAATGATGGGTATGTTTAAGATGGTCTTTCCTTAGAAGTTTTAAAGATTATCTCTCCTATTCTCTTTTCACACACTGCAAAGCGGCTTACAGGCTGAGGACATCGCTCTGCCTGCAATTTAAGCCCCACCACATTGCAGCAGGAGCCATTTTCCTAGCTGCAAAGTTCCTCAAAGTGAAGCTTCCTTCCGAAGGTGAGAAGGTCTGGTGGCAAGAATTTGATGTCACTCCTCGCCAATTGGAGGGTTGGTCTCCTATACCCTTGAATTCATAGTGAAACATTGTGAAACATTCTGCACTCGGTTGTTTGTTTATAACATTGAACACATGATTTTCTTATACCCAGTCCTAACTAGATTTTTGGTATCCTTTTTATGTAATTCATTTTGTTGCTCCCTGCAAAGAGCACAGCAAGCATTTTGCAGAATTGTTTTGCCAAATGCAATGCCATGGGTGCTAGTCATCGATTGGTTCTTATCTTGTGTCTCTCTTCAGGTGGATGCCGTTCAGATATATTCATTAATCATTATTGTTATTTTATCTTGCAGAGGTTAGCAATCAAATGCTGGAACTTTATGAGCAAAACCGAGTGCCTGCATCACAGGGTAGTGAAGTGGAAGGAAGTGCTGGTGGTGGATCAACTCACAGGGCCCCTGCCAAAGCTCCAGCAGTGAGTGAGGAACAGGTATCCAAACAAATACCATCAAGAGCAGCTCACGACCACTCTTCTTCTGATAATCATGGGGTTCCATCAAGAAACACACAAAATCAAACTAACGATGATGGTAGTGGAGAGATGGGAAATGTTAGCACTGATCACAAGGTGGACATAGACCCCAAGGACAGTCAGCATTCTGAGCATTTGTCCCACCAGGAAAGAGTTGGTGGAAGGAATGAAAGCACTGAAGCAGGAGAGTGGAGGGATGACGGGACGTCACGCAAGTCAACCAACCTGGTTGGGCGAAACTTGGACAATCGAGAAGGCCCAGTGAGCCAGTCCCCCAAGGAAGCTATCAAAATTGACAAAGATAAGTTGAAGGCTGCACTCGAGAAAAGGAGGAAGTCTCGTGGTGAGACAATGAAGAAGAAGGATGTCATGGATGAAGATGATCTTATTGAGAAGGAGCTAGAAGATGGGATTGAAATGGCTGTTGAAGATGAGAAAAGCAGGAAAGAGCGCAGGCAAAGCTGGTCTAAGAATGAGAATCAGAATCATGCCAAGGACCATGGGGAAGGGACAGATGGGAATCATTTTGGTATTAAAGGACAGTCATCTAGGGGATTTGAAGCAGAGGGCGCTGAAGAAGGGGAAATGGTAGATCATGCTTCTCCCATGATGAATAGCCGAAAGAGAAAAGCTGGAAGTCCATCTGAGAGGCAGTCAGAGGGAAAGAAACGGCATGAGTACATGTCAAATTACAACTATGACAGCGTTGAGGATGGACATAAAATGAGTCGGGCTAGTTATGCAGACAAGGAGCACAGAAGGCATGCACACGAGAATCACTTGTGAGTTCAGTAATACTTCTATTAGGCCTGCATTATTCTTATGATCTTTGAACAATCATTACTGACCATCATTATAGCCCTTTGGAGTCTGATTGCCCACATGATTGGTACTATCCGCCAAAATAGATACATTGCTGAATTGTACTAAACCTAATATGATTTTTGGTTGTAATGGTATGCTAGAAATGAGGAAACTCCAGCCTCCAGCCTCCAGAATGTCAATGATATTGGAGAAAGTAAAGAAGCAGTTTTATTTATTTTACCTGGTTAAAAAAAAGAAGGAAAGAAAAAAAAGAGAGAAAATTATTGAGCCTAGACTGATTTATCCGGTGTCATCTTCTTCCCCTCTCATGAGTTAATGTCTTCTATTTTTGCATGTTTTAGTTATATCCCACGTTAGAAGGCGTAACTTTGTAATTTTGCTTAATCCTAATTACTCAAATTGTACCTTGGTAAATAAATTGTTAGAAAAACTCAGTTTTGCTATATATTGTTCACAGTTGAACTGTTGTCTGTCTTGTATAAGTATTGTTCTGCCTCCATATTTGTCTTATGGATTGAATTGCGCTATCAGGTGCAGTTAATCAGGATTTGCTATACGCCGAAGTTTTATGTAAATTATTAGTGGTTGATCTAATGATTCAATAATTTAGATGATGATGTTTATGTTTTGTAATATCATTTCAATTGCTACAATAAAAACTTCGTTGATTGGGTAGTTACTAACTTAAAACTTTGATTTGGGTTCAAGATCAAAGGATTAAATTGTTGTATTTTCAAACAGTTAATTATTCAATGTAATATATATATATATATATATATCATTTCTATTTTTGGATTATAATTGAATTTATGGTATAAAACTTATGGGTTCATCAATTCTTGTCCCGTGTCCCCAAACCACAACCCACACCCCCCACACCCCCACCAAAAAAAAGAAAGAAAAAAAAAAGAAGGAAAGAAAGAGCCTAATAGGGGAGGGCTTGGAATTTGAGAGGGAAAGGGGAAAATGTTAGTTACACACCCTAGGGAAAGGGTGCCATTTGCCTCATCACCTAAAAGTTAAGAAGAAAAAAGACTTAAAATTAAGACATTCAAATAAGCTCTTATTAAAAGAGATTAACATATATAATTTTTAAAGTTATTTTTCTTGTGATATTTTATTAAAATGATTTAATTTTAAAATAGTTTTTTTGTTAATATTTAAGAAGTAAAGTGAATAAATATTAATTTACTTATAAGGTTTTTTATAATAAAAATACTATAGTTAAAATCTTATGTAGAATTGTAAATTTATAATTTTACGTAATATTAAATGAAATGTGATGTGAAATTATGCAAATGAATATATATAATATTACAAATAAACTTTTAAATGAAAAAAAAAATAATTATATAATAATATATCATATTATAAACTTACAAATTTGAGTTAGTTATAATAACAATTTAGTTAAAAGAAGCTTTAAGACTAAAGCAAATTAAAAATTTGATCCCCATTTTATTATTTCTTACTGCATGGATTTTCCAAATCATTTATGTGAAAAAAAAAATTCATATAAAAAGAAAAAAAAAAAACCAGCAAAATATTAATAGAGGGACGGAAAAGAACAAGAAGATTAAGATTGAAGGACCAAATTGACGTACTGTACTAAAATTATGGGACAAAGTGGTGGTGAGGGGAATGCATTTTTCGCATAATGAGGTTGCGTCTGAGACTCTGAATGGCTGTTGTTGTGGTTTTTTTAATATTTTATTATAAAAAATTTATATTATTATTTAATAATTAATTTAAAAATTATAAAGTAGTATAATTAATAAATTATATAAAATATTAATCAAAATTAATTTAATTATAATAAATTAACACGTAACAAAAAGGTCGGCTAGAAAATGAATCTTAAATACAACCTTAAAAAGCTTATGTAAGGCACACGAACATAAAATAAAATTTTTGTTTCTTTTATCCAAACTTGCCTCAATATAGATATGGAGAAAATCCGAAATCCACAATCAAACAAACTCTAACCAGTCACATACATCCACCTCAGCCTTCTTGCTCTTTCCTCCCTTACCCTCCCTACCCCAACTAATCTCCTCTTCCCAGAATCTAAACCCCATCCCTCCCTCTTGATACTTTTTCTCACATTCCTCCATTTTCTCTCCTACCAAACAGAGGGCAAGAAGAAGAAAGAAGGGAACTTTCAAGATGTCTCTTACAATTCCCACAAATCTCTCCAAACCCATTTTGAAGCCGAAGCTAAACTCTCAATTGACCACGAAAGTTTCGAGATTGATGGTGTTTTGCTCTGCCAATTCTTCGAAGGAAAATGGGTCAGCGCCACCGGCTTCTTCTCTCCAAGCATTCTCGGCTGCTCTGGCTCTTTCTTCCATTCTTCTATCCGCTCCTCTCCCTGCTGTTGCTGATATTTCCGGGCTGACCCCCTGTAAAGAATCCAAGCAATTTGCCAAACGAGAGAAGCAGCAGATCAAGAAGCTGGAATCATCGCTGAAGCTCTATGCTCCCGACAGTGCGCCGGCACTGGCGATCAAAGCTACGATAGAGAAGACCAAGAAAAGGTTCGACAACTACGGGAAACAGGGGCTGCTCTGTGGCTCTGATGGGTTGCCACATTTGATTGTTAACGGTGATCAGAGGCATTGGGGTGAGTTCATCACGCCCGGGTTGCTGTTCTTGTACATTGCCGGCTGGATTGGGTGGGTCGGAAGGAGCTACCTGATCTCAATCAGCGGTGAGAAGAAGCCGGCGATGAAGGAGATCATCATTGATGTGCCTTTGGCTACCAGTCTGCTGTTCAGAGGGTTCACTTGGCCTGTGGCTGCATACAGAGAGCTAGTGAGGGGTGAACTTGTTGTCAAGGATGTTTAATTTCCTCAGGTTTGCCTCCTTTTGCATGGTAGTGTTGATTAGTAAAGAAAAAATGTTCTATCTTTAATTAATAAAATTGTAAAAAATTGTGTCCTTATTTGTACAAAATCTCAGTTGTTATTAATAGCTTTGTTTTTCCATTGCCATTACTTATTTTTGTACAGTGTGATGTGTTTGGAAGCAGAGATTGGATGGAGCTACTCTTGGGGAGGAAGATGGTGGTGCTTTGAGGGAAAGAAGGAAATGGAGGAACTTCTTGTACTTAAAATTTGTAAACTTTTTACTGAGTTTATGTAATGTTGTGGCTGGAAACGGGAAATGATCAATCTATATATATTTTGATTCTTATTACCCAAGTTGTGTTGAAATTTCTGATGTTGGTTTCATAAGAAACATTGCTTAATAATTGGCATGGCCAATTGACGGGAAGTAAAATAGGAGTACTAGTAGCTTCAC